TTACCTACCTAAGTTGCCATTAGAAGAGAATATACATGGTCAGTAGTGTGTTACTACACATGTGGCTGAAACATGGACTGTTGTCAGAAATTGAATACTTTTTTTTTTTTTTTAAATTTGCTTCAGTTTGAGATGTGAGTTCCGTCAGCCTTATGGAAAAGCAGAATACGATGTTATCCAATACCTTACATCTCAAAAAATGCACAGTGTCTTAATAATTTGTCTTCTGGTAGATGGTTCTGCTTGCTCTTATTGACAGGTGGTTTGTAACTTCATGCCTCTGATGAAGAAGGGTGCTCACACCTCGACTGGGCTGTGGTGCCTTCCTCATGCTCCTTCCCAAGTCACAGTGGGGAGCTGTGGCTGATGCTCCTTTCCCAGGTCCTGGGGAGATGTGAGACCAATTCATTTCAGTCTTGGCAAGACAGGGCAACACACTTCATTTTCGATTACAGATCAAGTGTTAGTTTTACTTTGATTTTCTTGGCTCTTCTTTGTATACATAACAAACTTTTCTATCTAAATTTCTTATTTATATTTATCCTGTATTCCAGGTGTGGATTTGGGCCAAAAAAGTATGTGTGGACTTTTTTTTCCAGAGATGATGGCTTTTAATAGTTACTTACTTTCTCCAAGGCTTCTCTGAAACTCTGATTTTAGACTTGGGGACAGCACTGTGAGTCAGCACTACAAACATTTTCTTTAGACCCTTGGGAATATTTGGAATTCAACAAATGATAGCTAGTAGCTGCTTGGGACATGCTTAATCTTAGGTTAAATGACTCACTCCCGGCTCAAAATAACTGGTAGGAATTTGTGCCAATGTAACCCTCCTTCTTGTTGCATATGAAATGCAGGTTTGCAGATTTATTCTTCATGCCTGTATTAGTTTAATAGTATATGATTATTTTAATAGGATGTATTACATTTGTCTTATAGAATATCGGGATGTGAGGTATTTTTCTTTCTAAGTACAAAGTGAAGGAGAATTATTAAAGAAAATTGGTAAGCGATAATTTTATTTTAATCTGTACGACATTTTGTAGGAACTAGTTTCAGTAATCTGCTTAAACCATGAGAAGCAATCTAAAATATATTTTAATAAATAGGAAGCCCTGTAAAAATGTTGAATTATAATTTTTTTCTCTTCAGAATTGATCCTGTTGTAACACTATAGAGACAGCCTACATTACTGTTGAGCTTTATAAAGATTCTTTTTCTCTCCGACATGCTTATGATCATGTTCTGTACATTAGCATGTAGATTGCACTATTTTTTTTTTTTTGTGGTAACCTGGATTTTTATTCTCAGAACCACTAAAATGCTAATTACTTTATTTATCTTGACATAAAAAATATTCTTGCTGGCACTTGATGAATCCTTTTATGAATCTTCTCAAATCCCATCAGAGCTGCACAAACTGTACCAGCCATGTTGTGTTTTTTTTTCTTGTGCATGTCAAAAGTAATGTTTGTTACAGTTGGCTGCGGAGTCCTGACTTCCAAGGGAAAGCAGCACGCGCTGTGCAGAGCACCATCGAGGGATTGCAATGGTTCACTAAGGCCCCGGTCCTGCAAGCACTTTTGTTCATGTTTAACTTCTCTGTGATATGACTAGTCATATGGGCAAGCACATGGATATGCTTTTGCAAAGTTAGCGCCTCTAGTTATGTAAAACTCCACAGCTTTTTGGCCCGTAGCTGCAAGGCTGTATCTGTGAGACAAGTCGGAGTCAACAGCAGAGCAGCTTTTAATCAGTTTGTCATTTGGATTTCTGCAGTATTTTGTTTCAGTCTCTGCAAGAGTTTCACAAACTAAGGTGGTTTTTTTTTAAGTTTAAAATTCCTTGATCACGACTTTCCGCATAACTCTATGAAAATATGTTCACACTCTTTTGACACTGTAAGAGAAAATCTTAAGGGAGGCTTCCATAGGAAACTAAAAGAAATAAAATAGTTTTCTCTTTCAGTTCATTCCCTCTAATGTGGTCAGCTGTTTCATGGCAAGAAGAGAATTTCCAATCAGCTTCCTTATGGAAAGAATGTGCTGCGAAAGTCCTTGGGGTATGGAAGTCAGAGAACTGTTGGAAGCAGCACTTTAGATTACTCCAAGTGTGATATTGTTGCTAAGGAGCAGAAAAGAAGTCTCTAAAGCCAGAACCTAAGCTGTAAAATAATGTTGTTGGTCAAAATACAGTTGGATTTGTAATTGGAAAAAAACTGGGAGCCAAAGTGAACTACACAAAGTGGACATACCACAGCTCTTTTCTGGAGAGAAACAAGAGTATCCTCTAAGAGAGAAGCTGGGTATGCTATTGCAGGTAGCTGCCTCCAGACAGCACTCTGTATGCTCAGTCTTGTCCAAAGTGCCCTTGATCTGGCATCCTTCCCATACCTTCCCCACCATACCCCATATCTTCATGAATGCTCTTCTCTCTGATGCTGCAGTGTCGCACACCCTGAGGCACACGAAGACACTTTTCGGCTGAATCTATGAAAACACCACTCTGCTGGGTGACAACATGGTGGTCTTCTAGTTTCGAGTATGCATGACTGAAAACAAACACAAAACTATGTCTAAGTGTCCATATGACCTCTGAACCAAACAGTATGTAGTGGGGACATACTGATCTACCCCAATTAATATGTTTACAGGAATGCAAATTTGAAATTAAACTACTTTCCTAAACTTGTTCTACCTTCTTGGAAACACAGAATTTCAATTGCCCTGTTTAAATTTGGACCCATGCCCCTGTTACAACCACATCTATATGGCCTACATAGTCTTAAATTCTATGGCCATATTTAGAAAGTAGTTGACAGTAGCTGTCAAAGTTTACTTTTTCATTTCTTTTTTGGGAGGGTGGTTGATTTTGGTTTGTTGGTTTTAGTTTTGATTTTTTTGCTTTGACC